CGGCGCCCGGGAGGGACAGGGAGCAAGCCGCGCCCCCTCCAGCCCCTCCTCTCCTCTCCCTCCGCCCCCCCGGGCCGGCTCTCCGCGGGTGTGCGCAGCGCCTCGGCTGCGGCGGGCGCCTCCTGGCGGCGCCCGGGAGAAGCGCGCGCAGACGCGGGCCGGGCCCGGGACTGGGGCGGGGCGGGGGGAGTTGGGGTGGTGCTGGGCTCTGGGAGACTCCTTTCTGCCCCTGGCAAACCACCCTGCCAAGTGCCTTGACCAGTCCCCAAACGGGGACCGTCATACTCCCAAACCTTGTCTTTAGAACCATGTCACCATCCTGGCTGACGTTTTATCATGTTTATTTTAGCTAACACCTGGGAACAGTGAGGCTAATATCTGCGATGCCTAGTTGAAGGCCAAGCAGAATTCAATACAGCTGGTGACTAATGAAAAGTCACAAACGCGCTCAATTTGAGCAAGAACTGTGTTGGCCCTTGGAGGGAGCTGGGGGCCCTCGGGTGAGAAAAACAGCCACGCCAGGGTTGTGAGGATTTACTACTAACAAAGACAGATAAATTAATAGAAATTTCAAGAGACATAACAGTCTAGGGTAGACAGGTTTATCATTTTATACACGGTGATTTTATATCTTCACGTGCTGTAACTTGTAGCCATTTTTATTAATAGGCCAATCTAAACTGTGGGTCTTATAGCTCTCTTACTGCTGTAGAGACTGAGAATCATTCTTGCCTCTTTGGAACGTTTGTAAGGTATTTCTGATCTCATTGAATGAAATTTTTTTTTTAAGTTTGAAGTTTGAGTTTAATTATTATAGCAATAAAAGAACTCTCTATGCCTGCATTAAGGCTGCTGGAATTAATCAGAAATGCAAGAGAGCCAAAAGAAACTAGTGCTATTTTAAGAAAAGTATTGAAAAACCATTGCAATACCTCCGGGGGCCATACCACTTTACGGTTCAAATATGTTCATTCCCATTTCATCTGACCTGCACAACGCTAGGGGAAGGACAGCACAGATGCTATCCTTATTTTATGCATAAGGAAACTGAAGTGTAAAAAAACTGTGTCCTCGTAAGTAATGGTGGTTTGAGAAGACCTCTGAAACCAGCAGTCATTCTAACTGCTGCAACTGAAATGTAACGTAGAAGTTTATTTCTCAGCACTCCATCTCATCCATTCAGACAAGAATTTGAACTGATCAGTACTGCTAGGCAGCTTTTGGTTACCTGTGGCCAGTTTAAACGTATGACCAATGGTTCTCAAGTGTATTCTCAGGACCAGTTGTGTCACCACACCTGAGAACTTTGTTAGAAATGCAAAGTCTCAGGCATCGCTCCAGAGAAACTCTGGGTGTGGGACCTAGCAATCTGTTTGTTTATTTATTCTCAGAGAGAGAGAGCACAAGTGGGAGAGGGACAGAGAGAAGGAGAGACAATCTTAAGCAGGTCCCCGCACCATCATGGCAGAGCCTGGTGTGGGGCCCGAACTCAAACCATGAAGTCGTGACCTGAACTGAGATCAAGGGTTGGAAGCTTAAGTGACCAAGCCACTCTGGCCCGTCCCACAACAATCTGTTTTAACAAGCCCTCCAAAAGATTACAATGTACCTTAGAGGTTGAAACTACCATTGTAGAACACTGTCCCCAGCCTTGATTTATTTCCTTGTGACCACAAAGCCATCAAGTTCCAATAAGATGCCTTCATATTGTGAGACACAAATGAACACTGGCCAAAATATACTTTAACATATATTAGTATGTCTGGGGGCACCCGGGTGGCTCAGTCAGTTAAGTGTCCAACTCTTGGTTTTGGCTCAGGTCCTGATCTCACAGCTCGTGGGTTCAAGCCCTGCATTGGGCTCTATGTGGACAGCACAGAGCCTGCTTGGGATTCTCTCTCCCTCTCTCTTTCTGCAACACCCCTCCCTCCCACTCCCACTCCCTCTCTCTCTCTCTCTCTCTCTCTCTCTCTCTGTCTTTCTCAAAAATAAACATAAAAATGTTTATGTCTGAAAAAACAATCAAGTTTAAATAATGTAATTTGACAATGAAACTAGTGGTCTTGAGGCTTGGTTTTAGACATAAGGTATTGTCAACTGTTCATTTGTTTCTCCTAAAAGAGACAGGAAAGCTCTCTGAGCAGGTTTTGGAAGTGATCCCAAGCACTTCCAACACAAACAAAGATGTAAACAAGGATAAAATTCCAGTGCCACATCAGTTTCCACACCAGCGAATATCTGCTTTCGTTTAATGTAAAAGGATGAACTGTAATAAGGGTGAGGTAGACCGGAAGAAGCGGAGACCAGACCCGGATACATCGTGGAATTGGAGGCAGACCCAGCTGGCGTGATGAGCAGGCAACCAGAAGACAGTATCTGGAGGGTAGGGCACAGGCAGCAGCCAGGAAAGCAGCCAGCATGACGCTGGTTCAACACAGAGGATGCAAGTGTTGGAAGCCAGTGGGCAGCTGGAACACAACCTTGGGAAATCCAGGAGCAGACAAAAATTGGGAAATTGTGGCAGGCGTTAAGAAAATGTGTTGCTTGTAGCAAAGCCCCAGCTTCAGTGCTGTCTTCCAGGTCTGGATTCCTCTCCTTAGAAGGCATCGATGAAAACAAGTAGAATTCAGGTCTTTGAGATAATGTACTAGACAAGCTTGCAGGGCAAGGACTTGGGCTCAGGGTGAGAAGACAGGTATCCAAAGGCCAGATGTGGCAAAGGGAGACATAAAAACAAAGCAGGAACTTAATACCTAGAACTGAGACTGAATGTCACATTGATCACGGTTGCCTTATACTGAGGTCCCAGAATGTTAATACAGAACTCTCATTCCCTTCCAATATGGCTGGGATTGATCCAGGAGCCTAGAGATGAGAATCGACTGACAACCAGCCACTGAGTGAAAGGGGGCCAGCAGAATGAGCAGGCCCAGAAGGCAGAGAAGGCAGTTATAGATTACATTTTTCAGCCCTGGACTGGCAAACGCCTTTTAGAAAAATGCTTATTAGCTAAGTTAGCCATTGAAAGAATTCAATGAAATGGATGACCTTTTTGAAAGACTGACTCAGTCTTTGGAGTGGGGGTGGAAGGAGAGAACCCTACAATGCTTTTTTATCTGTAGCTTTCAACATGTTTATGAATGCTGCCACAATGAGCTTTCTATTTTATGGACAGGGAGCCAAGGCACAGAGAGGTTAAATGGTTTGCCCAAGGTAATATACCCTAAATTATAAGAGCAGGACAAAAACTGAGGAATCTAATTTGCTAAGTGTTAGTCCTCTGAGCCCTGCACAAAAGCTATTAACAATGAGACACTTAGCATGTCAAAGTTAGCGGCAGTGACATAGTACCAAACCACCACCTGACTTTTGCTCATCTTTCAGCTAATTCTATTAAAATTATACTTCCTGACTTCATGGGCCCCTTGAGGACTGGGGATGCTCTGCCAGCATGTGCTCCTCTCCTGCCTGAAAGGAACAAAGCTGAGTGTGCAAAACCTTCTAATAACCCCCACGCAAGCCCGCCTCGGAGCAGAGGCAAACAAACCGCAGCTCTGGTCCGTTTATGCAGCAACAATTACATACCTTGGACGTTATCACCCAAGTGTCCCGCCAGCAACCTGAATGTAGCAGGTATCCATGTTTTGTCCCTCAACCCAAACCAGCCCTTCTTCTGATGTGTTTCTCTTCATGAAACCGGTATTTTCCAACTAACTCCAACCTGAAACCTCACATACCCTCCCCCGTGGTCTAGTCTCTCTCCTGCCTCACCCTTCCTTCGCAAGGTCGATCTAACCATCCTGGTGGATACCCTCATCAACTCATACCAAACAGCCTCTCTCACCTCCAATCTCTCTTCAAAATCATTCTACCTTCCACCAACAAATCAACGCCCCTAATCCACTTTTTCTGTGCCCCTCCTTTTCTCAGAAGCTTTCAATTCCCTCCTGGTGCCTCCAGTACTAAAGGGATACTCCTTAGCCAGGCCTTCAAGGTCCCCCACAACAGAATCCCACTATCCTCTCTAACATAGCTCCCACTACTCCCAATCGTAAACCCTTTCAGTATATCCATTTATTTAATTTAATCTACACACCCATCCGTTTATTAATTCCTGCCTCTATGCTTTTACTGAGACCATTTGCCTTGCCTAGAAAAACTTATTCCTCCACCTGCCTACTAAAGTCGGCTGTGACTAACTTCAAATCCATTCATCTATTTTTTGAATAGCCTAAAGCACTCC